AAAGGTGTTTGAAATTGATCTCTGAAAGTTATTTTTAAAAGACTATATAAATATTAACTGAAATTTGGGAAGTGAAAAAGAAAAAATTCATAGAGGGAAATCCAGGAAAGCTGTGCTCAAAATAACTCAAGTTTTTCTGCCACCTGCCAAAACTATGGTTTATGAAACTTACCCACATGAATAGAAATCTTATTCACCAACTTCCAAAAATAGAATACAGGTGCAAAAGTAGTCATTAGTATTTATTCTAAGCAGCTTCAGATTGTTTTACAAACATCAAAATCAGGACACTGGCAAGCTTTAAGTAGATTACATGTGCTTTCCAGTTATGTTCTTTCCCACTCTCCGGCAGGGAGCCCTGCCACATGTGACAGACCACACTTATTCAAGTAACTTCACCTGCTGTATTTTTTTAATGGAAGGAGAGCAGGACAGACGTTTTCTTTGATGCCCCTATCCCTATAAACACTTAAGCACAGGTTTTAAAAGAAAGCAAAAGTGCAAATGTTTTAAGTACCTTAGAGTTTTCTTTATATTAGACTGTTCACATATGTGAAATACATGCTTGAAGTGTTAAAAGAATCAAGGGCCCAATTCACTACTACTTTTTTTTTGAAGGAAAAACATAATAAAAAGGCAAAAATACCTCTATAAATGTGACTATTTCTAAGACGACTTCGTCATATAAATGCTGACACAAGCTTGAAGTTTAAAGAGCCATTAGCACCTCCCCGTGATATTTACCCTCTTTTTGAAAAAGAATGGACATAGTGAATTAAAGCAATGTTTTCCTTTGTAAACTGATTGGAATTTGTACCTGCTGAATTTTATCCTTTGCTTTCCGAGTGTCAAGTGAAGCTTTGTCCCTTATGCAAGTATTAACAGCATGAAAAAACACAGAACCTGAGTTTGTAAGGCAGGAGGTCCTCAAAAAAAAATGGCTGCAAATCTCAGAAACCAGAGAATTATTAAAGTCAAAAACCCTTAAGAGCTAGCTGTAATAGGACTGTTATCACACTGCCTAAAGTAGGGCATCCCCACTTTTCAAAAGAATGTAACATAAAAGCAGGTTGCCAGGTAGCTCATACTCTGCTGCTAGCTCCTCTTGCTAGCAGTGCTTTCTGAAAGAGTAGAGCCTTTGTAAAATCAAGTACTGCCTTCCTCCAGCTGAATCAACAGGGAAAAAAAATTCAAAAGGTGTTTTTGCAACCTAATACCTCCCACTACAAAATTACTACCAACACTCTCTGTGGGAAAAAATGAGCTATTTTTATCTTAGGCAATACTTCAAAAAAAAATTATCTGTCCTCTAAAAACAGAAACAGCAGCATATGGAATGGGAACTGGCACTGTCCAACCCCTTTACAGCACTATGCTTTTTCTCCATTCTGGCTCATTTGAAACCAAACTTTCCTACTGGAGCTAGTTACTCAATTAAGACATGAAGTCAAAACATTTTTGCTATAAATGTGAAAAAACAAAACAAAACAAAATTCTAGACTGTAACTCACTATGTCCATCTTTTTTAAGAAAAGGTAAGTACACTTGCTGTTTAAAAGCAGGTCACATGTTAAATTTTAAGTATGTGAGTAGGATTAGATTTGCTGGTATGCCAGTATGGTTGGGGTGGGAATAGAAAAACCACCCCCCCCTAAACTCGGTAATCACAGACTGTAACTTACCTTTTCCTTGACAAACAAGGGGCATTTAAATGTTTTTAAAACCCATGTTAATCTGATCATGATGCTCAAAGTTTGATCGTAAAAGACAATTCTTATTATTCAATTTAGGGGGTTTTCAATTTAAACACTGAATTATCTGGAGCTAAATACTAAAAGCAAATGCAAACAGAAATTTTCAATTAAGAAAACAAAAATCCTTCTGATATATAAAGGAATAAAAATAACTACCTCAAAAGTTGCACTGCAATGGGAAATAGATTGTAAACTGATTTTATATTTCAAGGTTTGAAACAACAAAAGCACAGTAGAAATGTCAATTAACAAAATAGTCTCACATACCCCCACGTTCTAAACCCAAGCAAATTCCAATCATTTCTAATGCTGGAAAGGTTACAGCCAGCTTCTCAACGGAGAGACAACTTCAGGGAAGCTGAAACCAACAGTTCAAGTTAGAATTTCACAGAATAATTACTATTACAATCCTGAACAACATCTTTCAGAACTGGGCACCTGAAGATAAATATGAACTTAAAAACAGAACACCTAAAAATTTTCTGGTTCTTCATGTTTCAAGTGTCAATACTCACCAATGACTTTAGAGGCAGTTGCTTAGCACACAGAACTTCAGAAGGTGCTTAAATGCAGACTCAAAATTGTAACTTGGCACACCCCCATCTTTACCATTATTTTTAATAAACTCTTGGCCATGTCTCTTTACCACACCTGAATCATGGAAGACTGGACATCCAGAACCACATCCATTCCCCAGACTGGCCCTAGATAAAAGTGAAGTACTCCACACTATATATAACATGCCCATGAAAGCCTGCTCAAGCAGGATTAGTTTTTGCTGCCCTATAAACTTGTTGAGAAATGAGCTGGTGACAAAAAGAATAAAAACAATTTAAAAACCTTGTCTTTTTCTTGTGCCCCAATATTCCATGAGCTATGTACAGTAGGACCTTTTTACTTGCACACAGTCAGCAGCTACTGGAGTCAGTTTATCTCTTCACCCATGCAGGGTAATGTACATGCAAGTCTCACAGTGAAACTGAGGTTTTAGTATAAGCCACACTGGCTTTAAGTTAGGTATTAAGAAAGTAAATTAGATTCCTAATTCAGTAAACTGAATTTTTATTTTAAAAAAGCCTTAAATTTATCCGCAAACTAGTCTGCGTCAGAAAGCTGAATAACAATATTTGGTCCAGCCACTACTGGTGTAAGTAACTGATCACAATAGCTATAATGGCATACATTCTCTCTTTCTGTTAAACTATGAAAAGAAAACACTATCTATCAGTAAATCATTTCTAATTTAAAAAAAACCTTAAAAATCTGCCAACTTGCCATATAGCTCCAAATCCTCACATCTCAACCCAGAACATGATTACTACAAAAATATCAAAATACAAGTATGAGGAGTTTTACACGTCCTTTTAACTTCTATCAATTATTTCAAACTTAGCTTAGGCAAGTAAGTATTATTTTTAACATAGGAAATATAGGGTGATTTTGGTCCCTTTGTAAGTGCATTCTTTTGAACTCCCTGAGTACTGTACATTCCTTTTCTACAGTGATTTCTGACTGGAAGATGCTGAATAAAGTGATTTTGCATTGCTGCATATAAAGTAAAGTCTATTGCTTAAAGTGAAACATGGCAGCATAAGATTTTACAGAATATGCAGGTGCTTGTTTCAGCATTTTGCCCCTATGCATCTGAACTAAGTGTGAGCCTTCAACTTCTCCAAATCTCTCCTTTAGATTCCAGAAGTGGCTAATTTTATGTCATTAAAGATATGTAATTACTGTTATTATTTATGTCTTGACGGATAATTCTTACCAGTCTGTCAGTAATATTTGCAAGTTAACACAATGGAGTTATTCAAAGCCCTCTTGGACCACACATCTCAACTCATGCACTTTGAGGTCAGTAGCTGTAGTTGTGTAAGTTTTTTTTGTAACATAAACGGTACCAACCATCCAACCATCTAACTCCACATTTTCAAAACACAGTAGTTCATAGCAGTTGATAATTAAAATTATACTAATAAAAAAGATTATACCACTTCAATATGAGTACCAACAAAGTACCTGAATTGAAGTATGAGTACAAGCAAAGTACTGAGAATTAACTGCAATATATCCAGTTCCAAAAATAACTGTGGGTCAAAGCAGTGCTGAGCATCTGCTTATTGACATTTTCCTTTTTCATAAAAAAAGAAAACTGGGCAGCGCATCCAAACATAAAAGAAACTCAGGTAAGATGTGTTTAACGTTTAAAAAAAAATTATAAATAACAAATCATCAACAGTTCATTATGTAGCATCGATATAAAGAGTTTAAAGTTACTGAATCAATCAGTATATACCAAAGATACTTCGATACCAAATGAGGCCTCCAGTTACTTAAGAACTTTGAATTATTTAGCTCATTAAAGGATAGTACTATACCTTAAATTCAACAGATATGGCTGAATCTGTGCACTAGTTAAAATATAATATTGTAACTGCACATAAAAAGATGTATTTATATATAGTTTTTTACAGTGTATGCATGTGCGTGTATATATTTTTTACTCACCAACAAACACAATGCAGACAATAGAAGGCAGCATAGAAATAGTGTTTTGAATATAAAAATGGTTTGTTTTCAATTTAGTAGAAAATGTGTAGTTTTCATTTTGGCAGACTTACTGGTACTACTATACAAAACCAGGAAAAAGGTCATGCAAAGGGGTTTAGATTATTCTTTAACATATATAAGGGAAAACAAAAACACCTAACAGATTAGAGAATACTTTGCAATTAATGGGGAAAGCATCCAAAAGACAACACAAAATACAGAAATTGTTTAGTTTTGTTATTTTATATCTGGTTATACCCTAGTACAGATGATGAGTTTTATTTTGATGCTCAATAAAAAATGAAAATAAAGTCTTTCTTCTCTTCCACATTTTGTTAAACTCAACTGATTTCAGAAGCACGGTGGTATAATGGCCATTAAAAAAAAAAAATAAAAAGAAAGCATTATGGACATAAAATGTTACAAAAAAATAAGCACACTCAAAAATATATTTTTCTTTCCCTTACTTACAATTATGTTTGTTAAAAAAAAACCAAAGCTTTTACAATATCAGACCAACTATTGGCTTTTCTGATAAACTTGGTTAAGTACACTCCCTGTACAACCTATTTCTCTTAAGCATTTAGCAGTTGTTCTTATACACAAAAGTGATGTCTCTGAAGGAATTCAACCGGTTTGTATTTTTTGACAAATTAGGTACAGCTTTTTGTATTTCATTGGGTTGTTCATTCTGTTTTAGCTGCAACGTCTAACATGCTCCAAAACATATTCAGGGAAGTGCAAGCTGCAGACTTGTAAGCCATCCAGCTTGCACGGCATCCTTGGATATTCATCTTCTTTCCATTTGTTTTCCTCTGGATCAAAGGTGAGAATTGAATCACTGTAATGACCATTGTAACAAAGGCCTCCAAGAACCATTATCTGTTTGTCCAGAACAGCTACACCATGACCACTCCTACCAATTGGCATAGAAGCCAATATAGTCCATTGATCAGTATCTGGGTCATAAACCTCTGTGGAAGGACATCCTTGAGATTCAAATGAGGCCCTCAGGATCACACAGACACCACCAAAGACATAAAGTTTACCATTATAAGAAATCATTTTGTGAAAGCATCTTGCATAATTCATTTTGCATTTGTTCTCCCAACAGTTAGTGACCACTTGAGTTCTCCTTGTTCGCTGCTCTACTGTCCCTTCTTTACTGGGATCAAACACACACACTTGCTTAGAAGTTGAAGATGATGTAATTCCACCAGTGATATACAACTTGTTACCAAGCACAGTCCCTTCATGTCCGTATTTATTGACTGGATAGGGATCCACAAATTCCCATTTATCTTCAGTGATATCATACCGTTCAGTTGAGTAAAATGTTTCATCCCTGGTTCTCCCAGCCACTGCATAAACATACCTCCCAATAACTCCAACAGCAAACTCAGAACGTGGAACAGACATGTCTGCCATTCGTAACCAAGTGTTCTGTCTTGGGTCATACCTAAACACTTTGGATGAAGCATGAAACTCACCATCTGGCCCCAGTTCTTCCCCACCTAATAGGAACACAAAGTTATTCACAATGGCAAGGCAGTCTGGTCGTAAAGGTACTTGAGGACCCTCTAGTTCCCACCAGACCCTTGGTTTGTGCAAGAGAAGAATTTTACTGTTTACCATACTGTGTCCTATCATTCCTCTAAATACTGCAGTCTGGGGTTTGGCAGAACGAATTTTGTTCGATTTCATTTCCATCAAAGGCTGTTGGTGAACGCTATGAAAGTAATTCATGGCTTGGTCAACCTCATGTCGCAGCTGCCGGGAGTATCGATAAAACTCTGATGTTTTTACCTATGAATACATTTAAAAGATATTAAAATTCTGACCAAGAGAAACAATCCAGAAAACCTAAATGACTATGTGTCATTAGGAGATTATTTTACTTAGTTTCATTCAGGCAATCTTGACAGCAATTGCATTTGTGCATTGGGGCTTAAGCTAATATACTGTTGTCCAAAATCCAGAAGGTAATTTAGTGATTAACAGCAGTGACTAACATTTTCAGCAGAATACTCACATGCAGAATTTAAGGTGGAATTAGACAGAATTGAAATCCCCAAGTCTAAAAAACCATTATCCCTTCACCCCAAAAAAGCCTCTGTTAACCATGTGCTTAATCCATGAAGCACCTAAATTAAAAATGCACTATTTTCCTCATTTTGAAAAACATTCTACACATCCATTCTGTGTTTATCAAGGTCTACCTTAGTCTAATTTCTAATGAATTCTCACAACTGACCCCAAGCAGGTATTCCCAAATACCTGTCTCTGCTCACAGGGTTATTTTATTGGGGTGGGAAGCAAAGGTACCCAAATCCCTTTCTTCGGAACATGTGATCACACTAACCACTTGTCAGGATGGTTACCTTATGGTTTCCCCTCTGTGAGTCTCCACATGTTAACAAACACCTTCAACACAAGAGAAAAACATCTCAACCTATAATCCTTTGGTTACGCATTTATTTAGTAAATTCTGGAGGTAGGTTTAAACTTCCACTTCCCACGTGAGAGTCACAAACTTTGAATTACCACATAGTAGTAAAGTGCTCCTTCTCAGTGCCATCTCAATTTGAAAAGAGCTATTCCCGCTCAGTTTTGCTGGAGTTGAGGGGGGAGATTATAAGAATTTACCTTTCTAGGACCCCTCCCACTATCTAAGCTCATTTAAGTTCATGAGACTGGTCCTGAGACAATGCCAAAACACAACGCCATCTTGAACATCTAGTTCAGGCAGTCCTTGGGTCACCATGGGATTCTCTTCAAAAGGGGCTTCAACTCTTCTTGTACAGTCTGGTCTAACACAGAATAACACTTCTAAAACAAATTACAACCCACCAGATTATTACCGAATCCATAATCCTTTATCAGATTTGATCCTAAATCCCAGTTCCTTTCACATAAAAATAGATTGCTTTCAAACACCCTGAATGCTTTTAGTTCCCATCAACTCGAAAAAGAAAAGCAACACTGAATCAACGTCAGGCCACCCTGAAGTTTCAAAGTGACCACAAGGTAACATCAGCAGCTACTATTTTTCAATATCTGTTCCCCCCCCCCTTATTCCCTGTCCCAAGGGACAGAAGTCTGTACCATCACTTACCTAAGGGGTGGTGGTATGAATTTTCATGTATATGAAAAGCAATTTGGAAATTAATGTTCTTTATACCTTGTGAATAAAGTAGTTGCTTGTTCCATAAACACATACCATTCAAATTCTGTTAGCTTTCTGTTAATCATTTCTCTTCCTTGTATAGTAATTAACACATTCTGCTGTCAGATGAACATTTTAAAAAAATCTTTTGAACTGTTGTTACTGGACATGATTCACATGGATTTTGAGATTGTTTTACACACCAGATTTTCAAAAAACCCTGAATACTAACTTACCATTGTAAAGCACTGTATAGCTCAAGAGTTACAGTGATTTGATAGTTTTATTTACACTTTTCCTTTCCCCCGCTTTATTTTGACAAGTTCAGCTTTGCTTGGAAAAAAGAGGATGGTCACATGCAGATTCCATATATTATTCTTGAGGCAGTATCCAGCTTCTACCATTTTTACTTGGGATGACGATGGAGCAAGAAAGTTTACTTAGGGATAGTGCTTATAAAACACCCACAGTAAGTTCAGCTCTTCTGGGGAATAAAAGATCTATTTTCTTACTGCAAATAAAGAATATACCATTCAAACACAGGAGATCTGCTCATATGGCATTTGTTAGAATAAACCATATACCTTGCCTGACTGAAAAGACTGAACATAAATTCTAGAAAATATGCTGGGGGAGGGGTGGTGGGGAGAACCACAGGACAGGAAAATGGTAACACACAGAAAGCCTTCAAGGTTACAAAAAAATGAAACAAAGTTAAAGTAACAAAGATTCATGGATGGATTACTCTATCCTTAAAAGTAATTTTCAAATTCTAAACCAGCATGACTATTTCACACATTCCCAAGATGAAGCTATCATTTTTGGAATTAAACATAAAGGAAAAAGATTTTTGTTCCACCTATATGCATTTCAAGTTTTCTTGGATGATTATGGAAGACAACAGGATCAACATGCTTACCATGTGAAGCATGCCAGCAAAACCTGGCAGAGATGAAAAATGTTTTTTCTTTCCCCCTCAACATTTACAACTCTGTCTTTAGATCTAGAAATTGAAATGCCAGCCAGAAACTGAAATTAAAATAAGCCTCATATATCCTCACCACTCTACTCCTTCACATCGCCTAAATCTCACCCCATGAGAACATGCAAAAGGAAACAACTATCTCTAATTCCAGAGACAGAATCTCAAGACCAGGGAATCAATCTATTAGTAGTTTACTACTACTTATCTTGACAAAGGCACTGACATCAAAGCAAAGCCTCAATCTCTGACCTTAAAGCAGAAAGACATCAAAAAGCAAATGCAACTACAAGTTATAAACAACTCTTTCAGACTCAAGTTTGTGGGGAAATTATCTACAAGCACAACCTTGAAGAGATGAACGTGAAAATAAACAAGCACTAGCAATTCTTTCAATATTCGGAAAAAAAACCCCACAAAACAGTGACAAACCATCTAAATTCTGGTAAGAAAAAGACAGTTGGCGGCTTCATAGACTTTGCTGCTGAGGAAAAGTATCAGTGTTTCTAGCCTTCCACCTTTCAATTGTGCAATCTCTGCCTCTCCTGAGGCTCTGATGATGGCTTAAGATGAATGTTAGGATATGCCTATATAAAAGTACAGACTGCTCACAACTGTGCGATGCAAATGAAGCCAAAGCAAATGTAGGTCAGTTTGCTCACTTTAACATTTACACACTGTCTGCGTGAAATCTTCCACAATTACTTGAAAGTCATATTCAGACCATAGTAAGGAAAACCCTCCAAAGACCTACACTTCTGTGTAACTTTACAATACTTTTAATTACTTGTGTATATAATCAAAAAAGACCAGCATTAAAATGTAGGTTTTTAGGTATTAAAACACAACTCTAAGTTGTGCACCTATTTTAGTTTTAGTAGATGAAATAACACAGCCTTCAGCAAGCCTTTTGTGGGATTTGTTGTCTGAGACCCAAAATACACTGAAGGAAATCTCTCAGCATTCGGAAAGTAGGCTTCTGCCACTACCCATAAGTAGCAACAAGTAGTTGATCAACAAACATCTAAGTGATTACCAACAGACCGATTTTCCTGTTAAATTCAAATGGAGCTCTAGAAGGAACATGCCCCTAATTACCAACATACTTAGAGAGAACACTCACAAGTTTCTGCAAAACATCCAAACCAGATGGAAATGTACACTAACCACTATGAACTTTAAAGTAAAACAAATGCATATTCTTAAGAGTACACTATCAACTCTGAATTGATTAAAAAAAAAATGCTTCAGTGTTTTCAAAGTTTAAAGGAAGATTATCCTGCTAAAGGATCTCAAAGTTTAAGTTGAATTCCCTTACCAACCCCAGTCTTACTGTAAAAAAGGAATTTAATCCAAGCGCTAAAGCTTTGCTTGTGTGGTTTTTGGTTTTTAATATTCTTTCAAATTCTTTCTCTTCAGTTTTCTGGACAAAACCTTACAGAGGTTCTGTTGGGACACAGCACTAATATGAGAGCTCCTCAAAGAAATCTAATAAGAACTACCTCCCTGCATCACCTACCAGTTACAGTGGTTCGCAGTTGGACTTTTAGCTACCCAGACAGGGAACAGCATAAACAAAATCAAATGTATCATTCCATAAAAAAAGATCATTAAGAAAATAATTAAAAACATCCACCTCTCTACTCACCCCCTAGGTAGTCAATACCAAAACCACCAAGACTTCACCAAAATCACCACCATCCCTCCAGCCATAGTAAATTGGAGCTTGAATGCATTTTCTTTTCTTCATTTTGCATCAGTGAAGCACTCAGTAAAAACTGCTGGCTTTCCAAATTATTGCAGCTATTAATCATTGCCTATTTTTCTGATGTACTGTAAGCTTTTCTAGTTGCAGCAGCTATGTAAATTTCAGAATTTTCCATCTATATTCTATGAAAAAGTAAAACCAAAGATGTGACATTAGTTTCTAATTTGAAAAGTGATCCCCACAAAGACCAGATGTATCCCATATCATGTTTATCATCTTTCCCTTTCACCTTAAAACAATTAAGCAAACTAATAACCTGCAGGAAGAACAATGAAATGCAAGGTAAATGTTCTGTAACACAAGTTTGACTTCAGCATATAACTTTTTTGCTTTTTTTTTTTTTTCCATACAACCATTTACAGCTATTACTCTATTTGCATTTTTGTTACTTAGGCTTTTAGGAAAAAGCTTTCAAAGCCATAAAGAAAGGCTACTTTTGAAGTGCCGAAACTAAACATCTATTATTTGTACACCTGGTAACTAAATCTTAACATGTTATTATATGGGGTAGATATTTGCTTGGTTCTTTCTGTAGAACTGTTAAAAAAGCAGCACAATCTGGATGGCTCATAATGTGACTCTATCATCTCTAGCCACACAAGCAGAGAACTATTTTGAAGGTTATAAAATTGTCCTTACTTAAGTTTTCTAAAATTGCTAATTCTGAATGTCTAAGTGATGCAACTCAAACTCAACTACTAGGAATACAGAAGCCACGCTACACCATTTCAGTCAATAATGTGTCTGCATCAGACTTCTAGAGAGCAAATTCTTCCTTTTACTTGCAAAAATCCCAATATTTTACTAGAGTTTAAGCTGAATCAAAGCATCAGTCCTACTAATTAGGTTCCTTATTATTTTCACATCTACTTATCTCTTTATTCTCAGCACAATTATAAGCCTGTCAACAAACATTATTAAAATATTAACAAACATGCCAAATCAAAATTCATTCAAACAAAAAAGTCACACATGTCTCTAAAACAGTAGCAACCCGAATTACTTTGCAACCAAACATCAGTATACGTAGCACTGGACAAGCTGCTGTACTTTAACTCTCCCTTTTTATAGTGTGGGTCATTACTTAAATCTCATGGTCAGCATGAAAACTGGTCAGTAGCAGTATAGGGCTCTGAAGGGCTACTCTGCAAGTCACTTACTGTTTTTCAGCCTAAGCATAGATAGACAATACGACATAGCCTGTGTGCAGCAAGGAAATGCCCTCCAATTGAATATTTTTTCTCTTTCTTTTTAGAAACTGGCAAGAGAAATTATCACAATCAAGCTGGAATCTAATTCAAATCTATTATCTCAAAGCAGAGTTGAGTCAACAGTCTATATGCCCGAATTAAGATGCTCAGCACATAACAAACACTGCTAGCAAGTCTGTCCAAGTCAACGATAACCTTCAGACAGAAAAATATCAAGTGCAACACCTATTCAAGAGAAGAGGGGCCCACTAACCTCATCCACTAGACACTTTTATTCTAAGCTTCAGCATATGAAGTCATAGAAGAATTACTAGATATGGAAGTAAATGAGAAAAATGAGAAATTCAACACATTTATCAAAGGTAAAGTCACAACAACATAAAATTACAATGACATGTTCTCAAAAATTACTATTTTATAGGCACAGGAAAGCACATACTCAAAGATAATGTGTGATGCACCTAGTGATTACTAGGTTTTTGATTTAAGCTGAGAATTTATAAATTAGCATGGGCTAGTCATAACAAACCCTACAGACTGGACACCAAAAACATCCCTTTCAATTTTAAGGATAGAGGTTTTGAAATAACATTTCAGTCTGAGTAGTACACAGAACCTAAACAGAGCTTAAACAGTGTATGAACATAACATGGTTGCCTCCAATAACACAGAGATGAACTTAAAACTAGGAGAAATGGTCCGACTTTTATCTCCAACCTTCCTCAAGACTTTCAGCGCCACATTTTTCAAATAAAGGAAAGTGTAACATGGATAGTGGAACTTGTGCTTCTCCCTACATATTTCGCCTTTATTTTCTAATTATTCCCAAATCCCTTACTTCATTTATCTTCCCATTTTCCCTCATATATCTACATCTATTTTAACAGCTGAGGAACAAAAGGATCCATACTTCATAAGTAGTTTTTTCAGGACAGTTTTGAATAAGCAAACAGGCTGCATCTTCACTTGTGCGCTCCAAACACACATCAGCCTCAAGGTATACATCTAGAGTCACTCATCATTTCATTTTTAAAAGAATAAGCCATCCCACTCACATTGTAACTCTCAAAAATTATGTAAGAAATAGAATGGCTTAAGAGGCCAAAAGTATCCTTATTGTGACTTGCAAAGTTAAGTTACATAAGTGATTTATATATTACAATAACAGGCATCTTAGAAATGTGCATTAGAAAGTTTACATGAGAGTACATATGACAAGACAGCCAGCATACAGCAAAAACAAAGTTCGCTGAACCGGAAATGTCAACTTCAGATTGTATTTGGTACATTCACGCAGGCGTTTAGTAATGTGCTGGCTTCAGAAAAAGGGTGAATTCTGTTTGTGGATCTCCAAAAACAAAGCAGTTTTACCAGTATTTTCCCTATGCTACATGGAGAAGAAAGAGTTCTCAGGTTACTGCCAGAACAGTTAAGAGACATGATCTTTTATTTTTTTTTTAAAAAGGTAAAAAGTATGATCTGTATTTTGATGTTAGCTCCAACTGCAGTTGTCTTCAGTCACTTGCCATGCTGGATTACTCAATGCTCTCTAACTAAGCCAGGGCAAAACACAAATACATTCCCAGCTACAGCAACAAATCACATACTTATCTAGCTGTGCCTCCCTCTGCTCAGTTGTCCCACTCCAGAATCTGCACTGGCTTCTCTCTGCTTCCACATACAATTAATGGAAAGGGTATTCACAGATAAAGCTTTTACATGTGGGTATATAAACTGGGATGCTGAAAATGACATCTCTCCGACCTATCTGGCTGTTTGTCAAGATAAACCAGGAAAAGCACTGTAGACAGGATTTATGCCACTGATAGCAAAACAAGCTCCAGAAGTTATACCTAAATATAATGCTGAAGACCAGCATATACTTTTCACTTGTGCTTACAGAAATCTAACTGAAGACAGCTTGATGCTTGAACTCGCATCCCAAAACCACAAAGACTCTTTCACACAAGTCTTAACCTATTAAACTAACCTTAAGGATACTTTGTGAATCCTACCAGTTTTCCTACTGAAGACTTTAAATTATGTAATAAGGCAAAAATACATATAATAATAAGGCAAAAATACATATAATAATAAGGTTAAAAAGTTATTAATGTTACAAAAAAACATAAAGTGTTACAAGACACTATGCAGTATCTTGCAGAGTTCAGCTCCTACTAGCTGGAAATGTTTTAATCCAATATAAACATTACATTACTGTTCTAAAATGTTTAGTTTTTATTTTGTTTATATCTACACACTAATATAGGATCATAGATGTATTTTATGTATTACTACTTCTACTCAATTTACACACACAAAATTTTCCAAAATATAAAAACTCACTAGTCTCTGAATTCATAGCTTTTATAATTTAAAATACAAGAGTAAACATTACTGCTTAAATGATCCAGTATCCCTTAAAAGCACCAAGAATAATATAGCCTTATCTGTATATTCACTAGATACTGAAGTAAAAATATAAGGAAAACGTGTAAGAAGCCAAAAAAACCCACAGGGTCTTAAATCCTATTAATTCACTGCAAGGTGAAAAATACACAAGTTAAAGTTGTATCCTACACACAAAATTAACATTGTTAAAACAAAATAGCACAGTTTAAGTAATTCCTAACTGGAATACCCTTACTGTTACCAGCCTGTGAGAGAGCTGCTTACAAAATTTTGTAATTCTCTACTGTTGACAAATACTCAGAGATTCTCAAGAACTAGAAAACATTTTTTTTCATCTATTCTTCAACATAAGAGTAGAAAAAGCAAGTTCTCTTTTAACCTCTTAATACATACAATGATCAGTTAAATTTTAGATCACCTGTTACAAAGATTTCTCTGATATTTATAGAAAATCATTACATTTCTCTGTCAGTAACTTCTGATTGTATTATGTGCCTTGTGTAGAACGAAATGTATGTGTAACTTTGCAGAATCAGGGCTTACTTCCAACTGCTGTGTAACAGCACAAGCACTGAAGATACTACAACAACAAAAACATGCTGCAGATTTAACAGCAGATGCTAGTTTTCAATTGTAAATAAAAAAATCTGTACTTAAACCATGTAAAATCTACAGACACTGTGTTTTGATTATATTGATAACAATTATCATGACATATGCCCTACACACTGTATGCAGCTCTAAGTCTCTGAAAAGCAAGAAGCAACTTGTGGAAAACAGTAAGAACTACTGAAATAAAACTTGATACCAGTGACCTTACTTTAAAATGTACTTTCCATATGAAGTCACTTAAAAACATTTATTGTAAACCTACCTGTTCTCCACCCACTGTACATACTATTGTCTAATAATCAGATGACAATAATTTTAGATGTTTGTCTTCTACAGGTTTATTAGAAAAATAAATGCTATCTTTTTGCTCCTCCTAATAGGCTTGAGAATCTTACCTATTTAATGGCATGCTGCCCTAGCTAAATGATGAATCCTGTCTATTGCTTTTCAAATGCACCAACCTTCTCAAAAACACTGGATGGTGTCATCAAACAAAACCTGATGTTCTGAATGATGGTGTCCGTATGCCTCCAGCGTCTTCTATCATGGCGCAGCCAGGCCTGGACAGCTTCATACAGCTCTATCTCTGGAAACCTGCTCAGATGATCATTATCCAAGTAAGACATGAGCTTCTCAAAGCTCAGATATGAAAGGAAGTCAGGTCTGGACATGAGTGGCACAAAATTCTCTAGCAGAAAGGAGTCCAATTTTTCCCTAACTCCTTCGATGTTTACACCAAAATCATCCAGAAGTCTCATAATTTCTGCACAGTTTTCTAAGCAGATTTTAGCTAAGAGAAAAGAGCAGCAAAATTTTACCACCTCTATAAGCTGGACATACATGGCAGCCTGAAGGATTTCATGAACAGTGTTCATACTCAGTTCAATAGTTCCATAGTACATGAATTGGAGGACATGACTGAAGCCTGTAGCTGTCAGACCTTTCAAATGGATTTTGTCCTGATCTCGTTCTCGCATATCAGCTGTGAACATAATCCTGAAGTAATCACTCTGGGTGGCAAGCAGTGCTTTATGGGCCTGAAATTGGTGGTCTTCAATGACAAGTGTGACATCAAGAAGCAATCCCTCCTCATACAGTGCTCTGAATCCAGCAGAGACACTGGTGTCATGGATGGAGGAGCTAAACCCTTCCACGTCCCCTGCCATGAATCACCTGGGGGGAAGAAAAAATAAATAAATAAAAATAAAAATAAACTGTTATTTCTAGTAACATATCACAAGCCCTTCTTGACCAGAGAAATCCTAAGGTTTTTTTAATTAGACTTAAAGTCTTCACCGCCCCTTTTTGTTTTCTCTTCAGCTGAAAAATCAACTTAAGAAGCAACTTAAAAGACAAACTTTAAATTATTTCTCCCCCCCGAATATTCTCATTTTAAAAGAAAGTGTAATGAACAAGAATAACTATGCAATACTGCTGAAATGATTCCTCACTCCAAGCTACGTAGTGGTCAGATAATGAATATGCAATACTAAAAAGACTGTCATGGTTTTCTTCCTCTCCCCCACCCCTCAATCTTTCTAAAAAATTATGTCAGGGGAGCAATAAAACACCCACTCTTGAATATCAAAGGCTTCAGAAAGGAAACCGAACTTACTTAGCTTCAGACAGAAGATGTGTACAAGGTATAAACTAAAAAAATTTGTGTCTTTAAAAATATGTCAATTTACTCAAGAGTTATTTCTAGGAAACTGAACGTTTTCAGAGATACTATTTAAGTTTGTGTGTCTCACTTCTGTAACAACATAGCCCCTTTTTTCCCCCCTCGTTTCTTACTATAGAGATTAATTAGATGATGAGATTTATAAAGAGCAATATACTAAGGCAACACGAAGCACTGACAAGACTAGGTCACAATAAATAATATTCTGTATACTGGCTTTAGTGAAGCTTAATTGCTTACTAAGCATTTAAACATTTGCAGATACAGTGTTACTTACATGCAAGCTATAGCCAAACTGTAAATAAGCCAAAAAAAAAATTAAAGACTAGCAGAATCCTACCCTGTTAAAGTGAAGGAAGATAAATATTCAGTAAGAGTCTATATCAAAATCTACTCAAAATCCAGGAGTTTCTCAAAATCTTGCTCAACTTCCTTGGGTTTAAGTAGGGTGAAATTGCAGGAGGCAGCTTGAACTAATCTAACAATTTATCACTAGTTAAAGGGCAACTGGCACATGCCATTTTCCCTCTCTGTCATTCTGGGCTCTGAGCTCCTGCTGCCTATTTTGAGTCATTTGTGGGGCTCACTGGACTGCTCTAGAAAGACAAGTCATAAACCTGGCAGAAAACTGAAGGGGGGAGGCAACCACAACACACACTCCACCCACCCCCAGCACACATAAAACCAGACAGCTTTCTGCTTATCAGTAAGCCGTCTTCTAACTTGACACTGCAGGGAGTATGGCACGAGAACCAACCTGATGCAGAGGGCAGGACATCACACATGAACAGGAACTGGGAAAAAGAGTATTTAGGCATTAATCAGCTACTAGAATTGGTTCAGCCATTTCTGTTCCACTTTATCCTACCTTAAATTACACTGCAACATTCACTCGTGCATTTAACTCTGAATTTCCTATAATAATTAAAGTTAATGTTTTGGTACTGGTAACTTACATGAAAAGCTAAATAACACCAACATCAATACATTAAAAAACCTGCTAATTTTCAAGGTTATAGAACTTTACAGCAGTAGACCGACCCATAAGTGGCTCTAGGTTGGCTCAGGTTTCACAATTTCAGTGAGCAGCAGTTCACATGTTACTCCCACTTCCTCAAGCACCACATCCTGACTCCTGTCATTTTAACTGGAATGTATTTTATTAGACTCCATCAACAGATAATCATCTCCTCTCCATAATTCATCAGCACACATCCTGGAAAACAAAACTGGAGATACTCTTTGTCTATGCAAAACTAAAATGGTGAGTGGGTGTTTGTAGCCACACCTCATGGAATTAGCACTGCTCCCACACTGTTGAAGCCTGCTGACAGGTTCTGTGCACAATAGAGTTAGTGCCAGAAGTGTTCATGAAAATTAAGGCCTTATGACAAAATTCAAATTCCTGAAAGTAAGAGCAACAGCAAGAGAACAAAGCTGACAATCTAATCACTTTCTCACCAGTATCCATGATACCATACTCCCCTCAATGTCACTGAAGACAGAAGAGAGAAAATGCAAACTGCTCTAGCGATCTGTATGGAGAGTCCCTTATTCCTGAACACAGCACATGCCTACCAGGAAGAAATATCACCATCAAATGTTTTTCCTAGATGTTGATAATTCTTGCATAAAAGCAGACAAGGAAATAATTACTTTACTAACTTGTAGCACCTCAAAAAGAAGTGACAAACTGAAGAGGAAGCATAAAGCCTGACTTTGCAGGATTTTGCTTTCTAATGGGATTACTGATATCAAATAAAATGTAATCATTAATATTAGCGTTTTTTCTCTTGCTATAGAACTTGTGACAGCTCATCCCCCCCCCTGCCCCCAGTTCTCTAATGTTTAATAATAGTTGAGCTCATACTTCAGTCTTCCCTGTTTAAGAGATTTAATGGTCACTTGCCTTTAAATGGGCCACTTGTTTTCATAAACTATAGAGCAACTTGAAACAACCATCCCCAGTCTTGTTCGAAATTGGCCAAAGGTTACTAAAGATTCTCAGTACAACTCTGTAAGTTATATTTCTTTAAGAGACCAACTAAGCCCCAGCTTCAGTTCCAAGAATGGAAAAGACGGGACAGTTGGAATTTGCAGCTTGACACTTGAACAGAATAATACAATATATTTGAAAAAAAAAAAAAAGTCAGAAATGAAGCAACACTCCCCAGGTGACGGAAGCAACATATATTGATCTGAAAATAATGGGGCTTCCCATCACACAGACTCATGCAGGTAGCAATCTCACAGAAGGGATTTCTTCAAAACGGTACATACATTACTACATACAGGAACAACATAGAACCATACCAGTAAACTCCAAACACATACTAGGGTCTTTCCCCTTAACTTGAGAAAGATAATTACATCATAGGCACTCTGCAAATAAAAGGAAGAAAGTTAACTTCCGCATAGGAAGGCTTTAAAAGACCTCTTTCACCACCCCCAAAGAAGCAAAATGTTGGCAAGTGAAGGTAAGCAGAGGCAAATGGTAGAGGTTAAATGCACCAAAGCCAGAGGAGCATCTCCAGTGTTCCTTATAGGGATCAAAACAAATAAAAAATACACAAAGCCCAAAAGCCAGCATCAGAGAGTGTCCCGGGCAGTCAGCTTTAGGTGGCCCCGCTGAGCAGCAGGGTGGGTTGGGGGGATGGTGGATCAAATGACCTCCAGAGGTCCCTTCCAATCTCAACTAGACTGTAATCACGTTGCTTTTACACAGAGATTGCACCTATTTATTTTTTTAGCCACCTCCCCTTTAATTCTGATTAAACAGAAATAAGACACATGAAAAAAAAAAATCAGATATAAACTACTTAGTACATTTCAAATCTTAAATCTATCAAAAAACTAAGGTGGTAGGAATCACCAAAATACATTTTAAAATTCCCTGCATTTAGGGAACACCTTTCAGGGTTCCAACTTTCACATGTCCCTAAAACCACCTCTTCTATAAAAATATATTAAGCGCAGAAGTCAGACACAAAACTCTACAACGGTAACAAAATGGTCAACACTCTGAAATTATTATTTCAGAATGTTTTAAAAATGTGGGGGTTTAAGTCACTTAATCCTTCTTTTCACATCCCTGCTTATATTAATTTTTAGTAAATCTACAGTTTTCAATCTCAAAATATTTTTCTTCCCAAACATCAAGCAGCATATTTAATGGATTATTTAATTAGAGACAAAACTAGTAAGGCTTCTCCATAACACAATCTAAAGAAGCTTCAGAATTCTATGAGTGAAAAGCGAAAGACTACTTGTCTCTCTGCATTAAATAAAAAGAGTAAATACCCTTTTTTTGGCATAAAGCCATACACAGTATCAGCAGACATTTTTCTTTACAACACAAAAATGTATTGGCCAGTGCAAACACACAAGGGGATGAAAATAGAACAGAAACTGGGAAACTAGATAGTTAAATGCATATTATGATCAACTGGTAAAAATCTTCATTTCTATTGCTTTTGACTGAGGATATTAGCTAACAGCAATGTGGTAGTTCAAATATTTAAAAAGCAATAGAAAATACTCTCCAGTGAAGTCATTTTTCTAAAGCATAGCTATGCCATTCCTCCCACACACACATTTGCAATCTTAGATGTAATTCTATGCACTATTCAAATGCTGCAGCTTATTTCCCAGAGGACAATAACATAATGATTTTTTTTTCCATTTTTTCAATAAAAATGCAAAATCCAGAGTTAGATTTTCTTCAAGCATGTAAATCACAATAGCACACTTAATCCTAAGGAAGACATGTAGCCTACAGTGGTCTATAAGAAAATGGGAACAAAAAATTCTAATGCATAAACAATAAAGGAAAAAAAAATAATCTAAGTTGACGTTCTGCATTGTTCTGCGCATACTAGAGATGATCAGTATAAGGCAGCACAGGAAGTAAGATTCTGCTGAAAAGCCAAGAGAAATACGCTTAACCTTATTAGCTTTTCCTAACACTTCTTTCTCTTTTAGCACATAATGCATTACAGAGTCTACTCTGCTGTGACTGTACTCAGAACACTGATTTCTCATCTTTATTCTGCAGCTGTAATAAAAGTCTGAAAACCCTGTTCCAGACTGCTTTTTCTTGCTAAACAAGGAGAACCTTCTTTCCTCAGAGTGTCTGAGGCTGTTAGTCACAAGCAGAAGAAATGGAGTCTAAATGCACAAGCTATTGAGAAGGAAGTTATGGAATACCTGCTTTTTGCTCACGCCCTGCTTGATTTAAAAATCTATCCAAAAGCAGTACTTCCTGAAAACGTGCCCTTTAAATAAGTGTGTTTATGTAATATGCAAGCTTATATGCACTTTTGAGGGACCGAATTGTATTGTTCCAGGAAGGTACTGACAATATCAACTGAAAGGCAGATTTCTGCTTTCCTTTACTGCTGTTTCTTAATAACTCATCTGAGATGCTGAGACAGAACTAACAGGCTCCTTTGTTCACAGATTATGAAGTACTTGTGCATTCTACCTACCTCACCGAAATTCTGAGAAAGCACCTGTGTGAACACAGCTGAACAACAATTCACATAATAGAACACTGCATCTATGAGTTACACGGAAGATTTTTCACCAGACATACAGAACCATACTCTGGTTACACAAAGTACTAAAACAGAGCCTAAAATCCAATAATCTGTTCCATCTATCTGTTTCCTTTCATACACCAAATGCATGCATTTAAATGCAAATTTTAAAGCCATTACATATGCTTTATTTAGTGAGATGCATAGCAAAGATGGCTTTGAGCAGAATTCTTTGACCCCAATTTTGTTAAAACAAACACTTTACTGCAGAAATAGGATGTTTCCCCATAGTCAAATGTTGTATGTAAGTACGAAAAATACAATAAACACAGGCATTTGCACACACAAGCAAAACATTCAAACTGCACATATTCATCACTAAAAAATGGGCCTTTGTATGTAGTGTACTGCAATGAGCGAGAATGCAATGAGTCTATAAATACATGTTTACACAATATGAATAATTTATCCCCAAATTAAATCTTTGTTTACATGGTTTGATGCTGAAACCATTAAACCTTGTCTGAACCACCATTTTTCATCGTAATTCCCCTCTAAAAGCAACAGAAAGAATGACACAAAACTGAGACAGATCACTAACCAGTGGATATTGAAACTCCACTGCTACAATTGCAGATGTAGAAAACAAAGAAACACATCCAAGTCTGTATGTGTTTCATCCAAAATCCTTTATGATTAATAGGTGAAGTCTGGGAAACAATTTATCTTAAATACATAGATAGGTTCACACTATAGATAGACTTCACCCAATGTATGCAGAGAATTCCAAAACTACTGGATTACTTTAGGAGCAAGGAGTTAGGAGCTCACCAATTGCTGCCAGTCAGAGGAACCAGACTGCCAGAACTCTAGAAATTAAAACTTGGGTACTCCTGAAAACTGCCCACACGGCATGAAGAATTTCTTAGGGGCACGCACATGACCCTGACAGCTCCTTTTACAATCTCTACCCATGTTGCTATCTCTGAGCGATCTGCATCAGTCCATAACAACAGTGGCACTTTATTAATATATCAGTGGTCTCTGAGGTTGTTATGGGTATGCTAGAAGCATTATTACAACTAGTTACACCCAAACACACTGAAACTCAGTGTGGACTGGTCTCAGCTCAGTATGGTTGTATACCACTCTATGCTAGAACCCTGCTGAGTAAGTAGTCTTTAGCTATCTTCATAGAGTACAGTAGTAGAAGAGAGTGTTTTGTTGTTTTCTGTTTGAGAAACCACTAACAAGCAGATGTGTTGGTGCCCTCATAGTCATAAAGTCACAATGAATAGGTTTCTCAGCTCATATGGCTCTCTGTTCCTAAAAACTTAGTCTATAACCCAGTTTAGTCTTTCTGCACAGAAGGATCCAAATATTATAAGCACACACACAAAATCATAGAATCATATGTTTGGGTTGGAAGGGACCTTAAAGATCATCTAGTTCCAATCCCCCTGCCATGGGCAGGGACAACTTCCACCAGACCAGGCTGCTCAAAGCCCCGTCCAACCTGGCCTGGAACACTGCCAGGGAGGGGGCAGCCACAGCTTCTCTGGGCAACCTGTGCCAGTGTTTCACCATCCTCATGGTAACAAATTTCTTTGTTATGTCTAATGTAAATCTACCCTCTTACAGTTTAAAACCACTACTTCTCATCCTATCAGTATACTCCCTGATAAAGAGTCCCTCCCCATCTTTCCCATAGGCCCCCTTCAAGTACAGGAAGGCCGCTATAAGGTCTCCCTAGGCTGAACAACCCCAACTCTCAGTCTCAGATCAGAACTATTTTTGAGGAGTATAGTTTTCACATATGTTCAATTTAGATGAATACTAATCGATGATGTGTCAAAAGCTTCCCATTTTACAACACTAGCCACCAGAAAATAAAATATACTCCTCAGCTCAGCCCTTAAATCAAGCTTTAGGATGACTATCAAAAGGATTCTGATGAAAGTACATGCTTGACAAGCATTTTAAGACTGCCAAACATAGGCAACAGCTGCAGTTACTTGACCAGTTTAACTTCACCTAACTGCATCTAAACTCAGCTTCTGTCTCATGAATTATCATCAATCAGATATACATTAGCTTCTCATTGTATTAGGCCATTATGCAAATGATGTGACTGCACTTCACATTCAGATAGTTCAAACCATTTGGCTTAAAGATCACTGTATCACTACATCTGCACAGAAAAACATGTTCCTTAACGTAGAGCCAGCTCAGCTCAATGCTCTTCCAATTACATTTACTGATACCAGAACAGGTGCCAAGCATAAAATATTTTTAATATATCCATAAGAATGAGAATTGTCTTTAGCTGGAAAAACTTGTATTACTAAGAGTTAAATGATAAAAGTGTTGAAAACTACAGAATCACCACTGCTTTCTGAGTGGACAGGACTGCTCTACCTCAAGTGTCAATATTCCGTGTATATTTATTTATTTATTTATTTATTTGTGCCTTCTATAATGATTAGTTTTTTCAAATGTAAAAAAAAAAAAATAACAAATAGTTATTTTCTCATTGTGAAAAAATTCATCAAGGAAATCATGGCGTATTTTATACAGAAAAGTAGAAAGTGAAGTATTTCTTAGTAGGAAAAATCTAATCCTACTTTTCTGAACTCTCATCACATGAATTTTTAGCATAATTAAAAGGTAATGAGATACAAGTGTTACTTAAACTATACTGGTAAAAAAAATCTAAATTAAGATAGCTGATCTACCCCTTACAACTGTCTTTTGTTATTATGTGTATATTTATTGCTAATTTAGTCAATACTTTTTGAATATTCTGAAAAACGAGATCCATGAGATTTTGCCTTTTGTTCAAGACACACAGCTTTTGACCTCATTGACAAATGTCAACCTCATTTGTCAGAAAGACAGAAATCTCAATTTCCCCCAAACTGGCAGCAAGATAAATTAAAAAGATCCGGTGTCTCCAGTGTGAGCTCAATAGTTATCTGTTCTGCTTTGCTTGCTGAAAGGCAAATCAACACATGTGTAGATCCAAACCAGCCACAGGGTATAATTAAAGAAAGTGAAAGGAGATGAGTGACAGTGGGAGAGTTTATAGGACATGTGGTAGAAATTAAACGCGTTGGCTAGGTGTTGGAAGGAAAAAGACAGAAAGGATGTTGGCACATGGTGGTATACTGAGGGGATCGGGTGTGAACTGGGGCAATGATGGTGAAAGAGGTGGGTTACTATCTTAGAGACGAGTATACACAACAAAGAAGTCAACAGGAAGCCAGACTTCAGTAGTTCTGCCCCTTTTATCCAGTAACAGCTTTACAGTTCCCCTATTCTTCTTCTAAAGGAGGGGACAAAAAAAAAAAATCGAAAACAACTCCGACACCCAAACAACAATAAAGCAAAAAACTTTAAATTTTTAAGTGTTTACCAACGAGGTCAAAGCTCCAGTACCAATCCTGGGCGGCAGTCTGCTCGTTCAGCTCACAGATACTTTTTTCTCCCCCAACATCGCTGAGGGCGAAATGGCCATTTTCGGGGGTAGGAACTCGGATGCCCGACTTCAGACCTGTCTC